CTAAACACATTGTAGGCTAAATAAATTATTTCTGAGTAATTTCTCCTCAGTGAACACTATTGAAATTTGCATAGTTTTCGCTGGGAGAAGGCATAATTCAATTGTTGGTATCTTTATCGGGTTGAGACTGCGTAAGTAATCCTGCTGGATTAATACCAAACCCTCTCTTAATAACAGTGTGGCCTTGAGTTTTTAAAAAGATCCAGATCCCAAAGAGTTATGGCATTCTTTATACCTAATACCCTAACCACAAATAAAGGTATCATATAGTTTTATCACAATATGAAACTTACAAAACACTTAACTGTAATTATCTCACTAGACCTAAGTTCCTACCCTATTTTTATTTCCTTTCATCTCTACACTCCCCTTTCAGTCATCTTCCCTCACGAGGAACCATTCCCTTCTGTTTAATGTATACGTTTTTTCTTTGTAAGTGTTTTATAAAAAATGCATAGCGTTCTTTTGTGTACATATATTTAAATCACATAGATGGTATAGTGTGTGTGTCTGCGCACATGTGCTTGTGCACAAACACGTGTACTTCTCTTAGTTACTCAACACCACATTTTTAAAATCCATCCATGTTGCTAATAGCATATCTAAACAGTAGACTCTAAGTGTTGGAGACTGCTCAGGAAATGTACCCTTACATATTCACCCTCGAAGTTATGGACGCCCCGGTAGCCCCCAACTCCCTGCCCCCCCCCAAAACAACCCTACAATGTATATCGATACCTACTTCTCTAATGGAAAATTCTCTATGAGCAGAAGGGTGGGCTAAGTAGTTTACACATATTTAGTTTACTTAAGCAGTGCCACAGGGCGTTTCCAGAAAGTCTGCTATGGTGTATTCTCCCACCAAGCAAAACATGAGCAAACCCAAACTCCACATCTTTCTTAACAGAATTATCCAGCTTTACAATTTTTGACAGTCTTCTACATCTAAAGAGTTGTATCTCATTACTTTTCAATTTGAATTTCTCTGATTACCAATCATTTTGGCCATTTCTTTATGTGATTGTTAACTTTTTAGTTTTTCTCTGTATTTTAAGGGAATCAAATTCATCTATTACTTGTCATATGGTTAAGATTTTTACATTTTGCTTCAGAAGTCCTTCCATACCTCTGAGACACATATTCTCCTACATTTCTTTCTACTAACTTTGGAGTTTTACCTTTCACATTTAGATCTCCCATCTGTCTAGAATCCACTTCGTACATATGATGATAGACAGTGATCTAGGTTTATTTATTTCTCTTTAGCAAGATGGTTTTCCCAACAATATCTCCTAAATAATTCTTCTCTTGCCATTGGTTTTTGTCATTGTCTTTGTCATATGTTAAGCTGACATATATACAATCTCAATAACTTATAGATCAAGCCCACCCTTCCTTATTCCTCTTTTTAATGGTTAACTTAGAATTCATGAACCTTTATTCCTTATATAAATTTTAGAGTTAATTTACCAAGTTTCTCAAAAAATCCAACTGAATTTTTCAGCAGATTAACATATTAATTTTGGAAGAATTGACATCTACATAACATTGAATTGTCCCGTTCAGGAGCATGAAATGTCTCTCCATTCATTCAAATCGTCTGAACCATCTTCCATCTCTGTTATTGGAGTTTGAAAGTTTTCTCCATAAAGATTTTATTAACACTTGGTTAAATTAATCCCTGGATATTTTATAGTTTTTATTATTATGAATATTGTCTTATTCTTACTACATTTTGTAGCTGGCTACTACTGGTGTAGAAAAACGATGTTGATTTTTGTAGGTTGATTTTGCTGAAAACTAACTATTTTCTTAGCCCTAATCATTTTTTTGGGATCTACCTTTGAGTTTTCAAAGTAAATGATCATATCATTCACATAAATTTACTGTTTTCTTGCCAAATTTCACTACTTATTATTCTTTCCTTTTATTATTTCCTTTTATTATTTTATAAATAATGACCATAATAGTGGACATCTTTGGATTCTCCAAATCCTAAAGGGAATGATTTTCAAATTTCCCTGTAATGCATATTTGGTGTAGGTTTTGGTTATAGTTTTTACTAAGTTAAAGAATTTTCCTTTAGACTGCACTGATATGTTTTGGCAAGGGTCTGGGGAACACTCCAGAAATATAAGAATTCATTAGATCAAACTCATTGGCAAGGGTACACTAATCCATGAGCTAAAACTTACTGTGTTAGCTTGAGCACCTGGAAATTACTTAATAGTTTGTTGCCTTCTTTCTGGAGCCTGGCCTGCAGTTAATGGCATTTAACATACTGGAACTTCTTTCTGGGAACCTCGGAATGAATCTGTTATAGACAACAATATATCCTAATGACATTCTCTGGAAGGTTCCAGAAGGTACCACCTTCACCAAGGCATTAAGTCATGCGTTAGTGAAAGAGCAGTGGCACACCGAGGAGTTTAATGTGGCTGTCATTGTAAGCCAGAGATGGCAATGAGTAATGCAACAGTGGAATCAAATATTCTGATCTCGTTGGGAATTAACGGGATCTCAAAGTGGTAGAGGGCTGGTGTTGGTACTTAATTATCAGAGACAATGGGGATAAAATTAGAATCCCCTCCCACTCGTGTTCTGGAAACTTTTGCAGTTACAGATTGATGCAATCTTATAACTTTTTAGTGAAAAGACTAGGCAAAATCAGAGGGATGAGACTGATAAGTAGGAGGTAGTCTTATGTTCCACACTAAGCCACTGGGCTGCCATAATTTTTTCAGAATCTGAACTTGCAAGTCTTACATACATACTTCTTAAGTTTAATAATAAAAATACAGATTTACATACCATTTATTGAGCATTGACTATGTGCTGCATGATTCCTTTACCTGCACGTGTTCTTTCTGTCCTCTCTTTTCTTAGAAAATAATGCATTTGAGATGCCTTCTCAACCCAAAAGAATGTAGACTTAGCCAACTCTCTCTCCCTTGCATCCACCCCAAGGTACGTAAGAATTTGCAAGGTCTAAGGCTGTTTCCCATTAGACTATGAGATTCCAGAGAAGGTTTTTCGGATATGCTTGCCTTAGATCAGTCATAGAGCTCGGATGGAAGCACTACGTGGATCTCATTCTGATCAGTGCATCAGGGTGCTTGATAAGCAAACGAGCTTCAAGATGACTCCCCTGTGAGCCCTCCCACTCCCCACCCCTCCAACTTTTTGCACCAGACTGTCTCCGCAAGCCCCTCCCATGTGGAAATTCCAGCATCTACACTTAATGAGGCTAGTAGTTCCTAAGTCCTTCCTGAATTTCAAAATGTACTGCGAGTCGCCCCAACCCACCAAAATCACCTGTGTCATCCTTACTTCCCACAGGAATATCTCCACCTCTTGTTAGCAGATTTTATGTCACCTCTTTCTATTTCTCCTGTATTTTAAATTCCTTAAGGGCAAAGGCTTTCAATGGATTCATGTTTTCTAGTTCTAAAAAGTTCTTGTCAATTGTATCACTCCCAGACCCTTCTTTGACTTCAGAGACCTGGGAGGGTGTGTTTGCGTTAGCTCTTCCCTGTGCCTGGTACCTCTTTTTTCCAGATGTCTGAAATGCTCCAACCTTTACCTCCTTAGGGTTTTTGCTCAAACATCTCGTTAGCAATGAGGACTCCCCTACTAGCCTCATTAAAACTGCAACCACACACTCCCTACTCTTCTTCATTATTTTGTTGTCCACCATAGCACTTTTCTTTGGTCACATCCTATATATTTCACTTATAGACCTTGTTTGTCATCAGTTCACTTCCTCTAGAACGTAAGTTCGACTAAGATCAGGGCTTTTTTTCACTGCTGTATTCCCAGTACCAAGAACAGTATCAGCATGCGTAGGTGCCCGATAAATACCTGTTAAATAACTAATTAATTCGTAAAGCAAAACAAGTCCATATGCATACCTATGTTTCTAATCATCCTCCTATGTAAGACATTTAACTTTTTAGGCAGGATCAGAGTATAAAAGAGAATCTTTAGGGGCTGGCCCAGTGGCTTAGTGGTTAACTTTCCCCCTTCTGCTTCAGCGGCCCAGGGTTCGCCGGCTGAGATCCTGGACAGGAACCTACACGCCCGCTCATGGAGCCATGCTCTGGCAGCATCCCATACACAAAACAGAGGAAGATTGGCACAGATGTTGGCTCAGAAACAATCTTCCTCAAGCAAAAAGAGGAAGATTGGCACAGATGTTGGCTCAGAAACAATCTTCCTCAAGCAAAAAGAGGAAGATTGGCACAGATGTTGGCTCAGGGCCAATCTTCCTCACCAAAAAAATAAATAAATAATAAATTAATTAATTTTTGTAAAAAGAGAATCTTTAAATAAATAGTTCTATGTTTCATTCATTCATTTGTTCTCACTGTGCCCGACACAGTACTATACACTATTAATAACTCATTCACCGGGGCTGGGGGCAGGGAGGGAATTGAACAGGGAAAGCACAGAAGTAAAGATGTCAGACAAGGTCTCTGTCCTCATGAAAATCACCATCTAGGAGGATTCTAAACATTTGTCTCATGGTTTTTCCTTAATCAGAATAAAATAAAAAGATGGTAAATGATAATAGTAGTAGGCTATATTTGTATAACCGCTCAGCTCTTCAAAGTTCTGTAGCATGAGCCTGTGAGGTACCTGAGCAGTATTATCTCTACTCTATGGAGTAAACCCAGGACCGCAGGAGTTAACTGTTCTTCCCAGTGTTGTACCCACCACATCCTGTACAAGATTCTCGGCGCAGGGAGCTTCCATGCAGACGCTTCTTCAAGGGGCGTCTCTGTAGAGTTGGCAGCCAGCAGGTAGCGTCCAGCACAGCCTCTTCCCCCTGGGTGTGCCCAGGTTCAAGGACCGAGTATGATGCTGACACAGCCAGGAAAGGGTGGCGTCTCTATCCGCCCACTACCTCCCCCTCCCCTGGGAGCATGCGGGCTCAGCAGAGCTCGCGGCAGGAGTCCGCGCGGGTCTCCTCGCGTGCAGCGCCTCCAGCAGCCACGCTCTTGGCCACAACCGCAGCGTTGGAACTGCGCGAGGGGGGATGAGGGGTCCAACCTAGGAAGCAGCGCCAACCGGGCTCCCCGGGCTGGGAGGCCCCGAGCCGAGGGCGCCACCTGTGGGATCACGCCCCTCTAGCCGTGTGCTCAGGGCATGACATGAGGGTAGGCAGCCTTGGCCGGGTTGCCACTAGGATTCAGACCCGGTCTCGCTGACATCAGAGATTGCCGGACCCTGATACCCTGGGTGGGACTTCCGCATCCTGGGTTTTCCCATCGCTAGGAATGTTTTACTGGTAACAATAGTTGAGTTGAGAAGATCCATGCTCATCCTGCGCGTTTCAGCACCATTCGGCTGCTAGGTGACTTACCAAGCATTGCCTGGGAGAGTCGTCTATCATTTTAAGTAAACGCCTTGGGGTAAGTAAGTAAACGCCAGCGGGACAGTCCATCTAGTGACTCTAGAGTGACTTGCGGCAGCGTTATAAACCAAGGCCTGCGGTTGTCGGCACCCACCCAATTTGGCTTCCTCTTCGAAACCACTGTTTGCTTTCTCTTTTCGTCCTAGTTTTCAGATCTCCATGAGATCCTCTTCAGTCTGTTTCAGCTATTTTGTATGATAACTGTTTGTGACTTTGAGGTATGTCTCCAGGGTTCCTAAACGGAATTTTGTATATTTGTATAGCTTAGATTTAAATCATTCAATTCCAGACATACTATCCCAATTTGATGAAAAGTTATCAAGAGTTTCAGCTGACTCTTTAGGACAGTAATAATAATACAACCATGACTACATTTACTGCACACCTACTACATACCAAACACTTCTCTAATTTTTCTCTTTAATATTAATTTCATGAAGGCATGAGCCCATATACTAAGACCTATCACCTCAACTACCATGAAATGAGAGTCAGTTCAGTTATGTTTGCAGGCTGCAAGAACACATAGAAATTTGTTTGTGTTTATACAGTTATTCAACAAGCACTGAGTTCCAAAAATGTGCCACACACAGTACTAAAGCATACAGTTAAAAGATGAGGATGACACAAACATACAAAAAAATATGACCTATTGGTGGAATTGGAGCTTATTAGAAGTGGTGAGAGTGTGGTTTGAGAAATCAGACTGGAAAGGAAGCCAGAGGGCACACCATGAAAGGCTATGTGTTTGGACTATTTTGAAGACAGTGGGGAGCCTCTTAAGTGGTATGATCAGATTTGAAAGATTGGTGTGACTAAGATGTGGGGAATGGGCCAAAGAGTCAAGGAGAGAAATAATAAGATATTGAAGGAAAGAAGACCAAACCAGAGACCTTTGTAATAATGCAAGCAAAATATGAATCTCATGTCAACTTAGCTACTGATTTCTTAGGTTTGTCTCCCATTTCTAGCTCTGCACCTATCCCTCAATATAGTAATAGATTTGGCTTTTGGCTTCTCCATGTTTTCGTTGGTTGGCTAATTTGGTTGAGTTGGGATGGCTTTATAGGAAGAAGGATGAAGTGGAAGAAGTTGGAGGGAAGCAATGAGCATATCTATGTTTAATGATACATCAGTGGGTTTCTAGGCACCATTTTAATTCCACTGAGACACAGCAATTTACCTCTGATATAGGCAAAAGCTCAGTCAGTCTAGCAGATGGAGAGCTCACAAAGAAGATTATGGGAAAGCTGTGATGCAGAGAGCATGTGGGAACCCAAGAGGCTCATTTGTGGATATGAGACTTATGGCAGTGAGACAAACTTAAAAAGATAGGAATGGAGGTGACATCAGTGAAAATGGCAGAGTAGGGAACACCAAGTAATCAATAAACTGGCAAAAACTGTCAGAACCACCTGTCTCCCAACTCTGGAAACGAACTGAAACTTGCAAAATTGCTTAATCAAGAAAACACAACTGAGGGAGTGCAAACTGGTGCAGCCGCTATGGAAAACAGTATGGAGATGTCTCAGAAAATTAAAAATAGAAATACCGCATGATCCAGCTATTCCACTTCTTGGTATTTATCCAAAGAACATGAAAACACTAATTTGAAAAGATATATGCACCCCTATGTTCGTTGCAGCATTATTCACAATAGCCAAGACTTGGAAGCAACCCAAGTGACCATCAAGAGGTGAGTGGATAAAGAAGATATGATATATATATATATACATACAATGGAATACTACTCAGCCCTCAGCCATAAAAAAGATGAAATCGTCCCATTTGCACCATCATGTATGGACCTCAAGGGTATGATGTTAAGCGAAATAAGCCAGACAGAGAAAGACAAATACTACATGATTTCACTCATAGGTGGAAAATAAACAAACGCACGGATAAAGAGAACACATTAGTGGTTACCAGAGGGGAAAGAAGTAGGGGGAGGCTGAAAGGGATAAAAGGGCACATATTTATGGTGATGGATGGAAGCTAGACTTTTGATGGTCAGCATAAAGCAGTCTATACAGAAGCTAAAATATAATGATGTATACCTGAAGTTTACACAATGTTACAAACCAATGTGACCTCAATAAAATAAAACAAAGAAACTACAACTGAATCTTGGTAAGAGAGTTTTGTGGAATTTTGACTTATCTTATTCCCACTCCCCACTCCCACCTCATCAATGGCCTTGAAGAAAATAGCCTGCATTCCCAGTACAGGTACCGAGTGCCAGAGGGAGCAGAACAAATCTTATCCTCAAAGAATTTGAGCTGTTTCTTTGACTTGTCTGGGAGTTTCCCTGAAGGACCTGCTCAAAGGACCCACTTTGAGCTCACCTATAACTCAGAATTATCCCAATTCTGAGGTATCTACCCGGGGAGTGTTTTTCAAAAACATTTAAAGGCAAATGTATGGTCATTGCCACCCCAGGCAAGGGATAACAGTTGGAGCAAACAATAGACTAAAAATCTTTTGAGAAAAGGCTAAAGAATGAGATGTTTTGGGTAAGAAAGGTCTTGAAAAGCTCCCACATATTTCTGAACATCTAGAAAGCCATGTTCATCCAGCCCTGTGCTGGATGCATGCTCAGAAAAGACCTGAGAAGAGCCTAAGTTCTCACCTCCGGCCGACGTTCAGGCTCTGTGCAAGCAGGAAGTGAAAGCTAAGCAGAGTTGTAAACTTCCTGAATGAGTGTTGAAAGCATTCTCCAACACATTGGATCCATCTGCAAAGAGTGAGTAGGAGGTTTTTCTTGTTATTGCTCCAGACATTTAAGGAAATCTCTCTCCACTCCTAGCTGACTTCAGAGAATTCAGTTGCCATTCATGACAAAGTGCAGACTTTACAAAATTAGTTCACAAAAGTCACTAAGCAAACAAACAACAACTGCAACATGCGGCAACAACAAACCCTGGAAAGTCAGGGGCAAGGGGGGATCTGATTTCCAGAGCTGTCAAATTATAATATTCAAATGTCCAGTTTGAACAGAAAATTATGAGGCATGCAAAGAAATAAGAAACAATGGCACATACAGAGGAAAAAACATTTAATAGAAACTGTCCCTGAGTTATCCCAGATATTGGACTTACTAAATAAGGACTTAGGAGTCAACTATATATGCACAAAGAGATAAAGGAAATTATGTACAAAGTACTACAGGAAACTATGAGAACAATGTCTCACCAAATAGAGAATAAACAATAAAGAGAGAAATTGTAAAAAGAAACCAAATGGAAACTCTGAAGTTGAAAAGTACAATAACTGAAATTAGATATTTACTAGAAGAGCTCAACAGCAGACTTGAGCAAGCAAAAAAAAGAATCAGGGAATGAAGTAATTCAGTTACTTTAAAGATAGGTAAATTGAGATTATCCAGTCCAAGGAGAAAAAAAAAATGGAGTGAAGAAAAATGGATTGAGCCTAAGAGAGTTGTGGGGACAATATCAAGCATACCTGCATATATGTAATGGGAGTGTCTGAAGGAGAAGAGAGAAGGAAAGGACCACAAATAATATCTGAAAGAAATAATGGCTGAAAACTTTTCAAATTTGTTGAAACCATTAATCTACATATACAAGAGCTTAAATAATTCCAAGTAGGATAAACTCACAGAGATTGACAAACACATCATAAGCAAACTGTTGAAAACCAAGGACAAAAAGAATCTTGAAAGCATTAAGAAAGAAGTGATTTATCACATATGAAAGATACTCAAGAAGATTAAAAGCCAGTTTCTCATCGGAAACCATGATGGCCTTAAAACAATAGGATGACATGTTTAAAGTACTGAAAGAAAAGAAACTGTCAATCAAGAATTTTATATCTGGTAAAACTATATTTTAAAAATAAAGGAGAAATTAAGATATAACTACATTTAAAAAAGTAAAAAGACAGGGTTTTTCATTGTCCTAAACCTGACAGACCTGACCTACAAGATATGATAAAGGGAGTCCTTGGGCATGAAATAAAAGGACACTAGATAGTACCTTGAATCCACATGAAGAAATAAAGAACACCAGTAAAGGAAACTACATAGGTAAATATAAAAGTCAGTATTAAAATATTGTGGGTTTGAAACTCCTCTTTTCTTCCTAAAGATTTAAAAGACAACTGATAAAACAATAATTATAAATCTACGTTGCTGGGCACACAATATATAAAGGCATATTTTGTGACAATAACAACAAATAGGGTGGAGCAAAGTTTTGTGTAATATGGAAATTGAGTTGATATTAATTTGAATGAGATTGTTTTAAAGAAGGTGTCAATTATAATGATCAAGGTAACCACTAAGAAAATAACTAAAATATACATATAGTAAAAGAAATGAACTTTAAAAGGTACAATAGAAAAATTCATTTTACACAAAAGAAGGCAGTAAGGAAGGAATTGAGTGACAAAAAAAGATATGGCACATAAAAAAACAAATAGCAACTGCAGAAATAAGTCCTTCCTTATCAGTAATTATATTAAATGTAAATTGATTGAACTCTCCAATTTAAAGGCAGAGACTGGCAGAATGATAGATTTTTTTAAATGATCCATCTATATGCGGTATACCTGAAACTAACTTTAGATTCAAATATACAAGTGGGTTGAAGGTGAAAACGTGAGAAAAATATTCTCTGCTAACAGTAACCAAAAGGGAGCTGGAATGGCTATGCAAATATCAGAAAAGTAGACTTTAGGGCAAAATTGTTATAAGACACATCATATAATGATAACAGGGTAAATTCATCAAAAAGATGGAACAACTGTAAACATAGTGCACCTAATAACAGAACCCCAAAATATATGAAACAAAAACTGACAGAATTGAAGGGACATTGATAGTTCAACAATAATAAAAGAAGACTTCAGTACCACACCTTCAACAATGGATAGAAACTAAGCAAGATCAGCAAGGAAATAGAAGACTTGAGTAATACTATAAACCAGCTAAACCTAACAGATGTCTTAGAATGCCCTACCCAACAACATCAGAATACA